CTTCCTACCTACACCTTTTTTGGCTCCCTGTTGGAGGCTTCTAGGGTTTTATAGGTGCAGGTAGGATCACTCCGTTTTGGTTTGATCCTAGCACGTGCAGTCACTGGGACTGAACCAAAGCAGATGGCTTAAACTTTCCATTTCCTAATATCATTAAGTGGTGTAAGTCACTAAAAGATATAGAGAAACTGAAAGCTTAAGCCATCTGTTTTCAATTTCCCAATATTGATTATGATATTAGGAAACTGAAAGCTTCCTCTATGTCTCCATGGAGTGGGAAAGAGAGGAAGCAAAGGGTTTGTTTGCTTAGGGCAACACTGATGCGCTATGCCTTTTAGATATTTTTTTCTATAATGGAAAGCTTCCTCCTAGAAAGAAAAGGAGATAGGAGAGGGGTTTTTTTCTTTGTTTTCTTTCTTTTGCCCTTTGCATTTAAAAGGACATGGCCAACAGGGTCACTTGAGCTGCAGTGTTCTTTCTTGACCTGAAACCACCCAATCCTTGAATATAGATGTAAGAATCGCACCAAACAGCATACTGTACTTCCGTGTGACTTTAAGTAACCCTATTCAGCCCACTCCAGTCTTCTCCAATTTGGCTGTCTAGCCAAGTCCTAAGATGGCATAGTGGCCACTCCAAGAGCATAACTGCATTGCATAGGCTGAAATCCTGTTGCTTAGCATAGTAAGTCAAAACTAAAGCAGGTCCACTGAATGAGCAAGGATTTGGAGAGTCAACTCCTCCATGAATTGCACTGCTTCAATAAGCCTACTCTGCTTGTCACTAAGCAGCAGTATTTTAGCTATAGTATATTAACCAAATTCACTATAATTAATTTTATTGCTGGCACTCTTACCTGAAGGTTTAATGGATCCACGTGCAGCATTAAGCTCCTATCTATATTTGAGATTTTTATTCTTTGAGCTACACATGCATGACTAGAGCAGTTCTCCGGTCACATCTTTCAGCATCTCAACTGAATGTGCAATGTTCAAAAAACTAAAAAATGAATTTACCTAAAAATAAGTAAAGATAGAATAGCCTTTTCAGTAGTAGCAATGAGAGCTATCTGTTTAGAAGCAGACAACATCAGAACTAATAGAAGAAATGTAAAGAGCACAGCCTGGAAAAAATATTTTGTTGACTGCAATTCTCAGAAACCCTCAGGCAACATTCATCTCAGGCTACATTGTCTATGGGATTCTAGAAGGTATAATTTGAAAAACAAATGTTTCCCGTCTGATCTTGCTATTCCTAGTGGGGGGAATTCAGCCTTCTAGTCCAGGTTTTGACAGTTTGATAAGTATGTTCTTTCTGTAAGACTCTCCTCTGTTTCTCCTCAGACTCTATTACCAGCTGAATGAGCATGGAATCTTGGTATTAAGTATACTTTATACCAAAAATCTAGGTGGCGAGGGTGCAAAAGAAATACTGTCAATTGTTTGGGGCTATTAAATTTCAAACTGGCATTATTCGAACTTAAAATGCTTGCTGAAATATGCTGTATATGATGAAAGTATCAAGTCAAGCACACTGTCATATAAACACACAATAGGGGGCTTTGAAACTAACTCTTTTCTGTCAAATAAAAAGACAACTTGAAAGTAGTATCTTGCACGCTGCTTTTGCTTAAGCCAGTATTGTACTCTCAGTGAACATTTAAGGCCATGGAAGCCTTAACAGATTTCTGGAAATTGTGGTAAAATATACGTGGCAAAGTTGGGGACAAACTCCATTACAGTTTGATATAGAAAGTAGGTGTTGTTTGGATTCAAACAGCAATGCTGAGATATTCCTTGCATCTCAGTTCCACAGTAATGGAGAAGTGACTGACCCCCAGACAGTGCTTTCCTCTTAACCTGTTCTACCATTTCTATCATCCCCAGTCAGCACACTGCAAAATAATATGTGTTGTAGGTTAATACACCTGTAGATATAATAGGCAGGACCTTCTGCTTCCTCTTCTGACACTGCGCCATTAGAGACTTTAGACAGTTTTCCTCAGCCTGCTGCTCTCCAGATACGGTAAGACTACTGCTCCCATCATCCCTGGCCGCTGGCCATGAGTGGAGAGCAACAGATTAGAGAATGTTGCTCCATGTTTTAGAAACCATCCTGGAAACATTAAACATGTCAGAATGCTCTCTTTGCCCTCCAGAACTGGACCATAAGCTTGTATGGCTTCATTTATTTGGTGATTTTAGAGGAGCTGGTATTCTCATGTCATATTTTTATTCCCTCTCCCTCAACCCCCTTTGTGTGTGTGTGTGATAGATAGATAGATGGATGGATGGATAGAGAGAGAGAGAGAGAGAGAGAGAGAGAGAGAGAGAGAGAGAGAGAGAGAGAGAGAGAGAGAGAGAGAGAGAGAGAGAGAGAGAGAGAGAGAGAGAGAGAGAGAGAGAGAGAGAGAGAGAGAGAGAGAGAGAGAGAGAGAGAGAGAGAGAGAGAGAGAGAGAGAGAGAGAGAGAGAGAGAGAGAGAGAGAGAGAGAGAGAGAGAGAGAGAGAGAGAGAGAGAGAGAGAGAGAGAGAGAGAGAGAGAGAGAGAGAGAGAGAGAGTTTATAAAATGATACGCAAGCTAGAAAACTCTGGAAAAAGGAAAAATATATTTTTATTTAAAACAACTTTAGCATCAAAGGAAATCTATGAACTGATAATAATAAAATACTGCATTGGGTGGATACAGTAACTCTTCCTGTTCACAGATTTTGAATAAGATAATCAGATAATTTATCATTCTTTGATTCCTCAGATTGTAACAGAACAAAACCAACAATTTCATTTTTAACAGCACCATGTGTTATAGTCTAGAAACAAGTCTAGACTGCTGCGCAAAACTCACATGATGTCATGTATAATTTAGGAATCAGACCATGATCAAAATGATTTTCACTTGTGAGATCTAAAGCAGGGATAAGCCACGCACAGTCACATGGCTGCATGTTACATTTTTGCAAGTAAATAGTGAACATTTGTTAGAATCCCAAGATTCTGAGTTGTTGCACAAAAACCAATTAAGCTTTTAGCCCTCATTGTTGCAAAGAGAAGACTGTAATGGCAATCAATAAAGAAAGGCTCAAAGTACCTGTATCTGAAGGAATAAAATATATGTAGAAATAATAATATGTCTTTGTATCCAAATTCACCTCTAAGGAAGGAAGGCTGATTGTAAAACTGGTTTTTAGAACTGTATGCATCCATAAATCAAATGAAAAGCCCACATTTACTAGAATAAGTTGATTTTAAAATGGCTCTTTTCTCCTTTCTAGATTGCACTGACAACATTCAGGAGTGACATATAAGAGGAGTATCACCTCTGAATGCACCTGAAATCCACAATAAGATTCAAAATATTTGAATTAAGCCTTCTGCAAGCTTTTCAAAACTAGTGCAATCAAAGCAACATGCCTACTATTGATCAGCATCAGTTGAAATCATAGCATGGGCTTGATCCAGCCCTTCTGTATTGGTGGGAGAAAGGAAATGCAGGCACTTATGCCCTGATAGTCATCGATCTGTGCCACATTTCCTGCTAAGGTCTGAATTGTCCCAACAGCATTCTGACATCTAGGAAAGTGTGTGCCCTGGCATCTTGGACCAAGCAACTAGGAAACCACCAGTGAATGGCTCCAGATGGCTCCTTCACAGTTGATCTGCCGTTCCCTTTCCAACTCCACCCTAACCCTCACAATGCGTTATAATTAGGAATGTTCTATGCCCGCAATCTGGCCCAGATGACTAAATGCTCTGCTGGACTCCAGCAGATGAGTATATCTCGTTGTAGCACAATGGCTTGCTGTATAGATGAAAGTCTATGACACAAGTGGAACATACACACACTGTTCCTTTGCCCAGGAAACTAGTTCTTACTGTATTCTGCACTGAGTTTTAGCATCCTTTTGAACATACATAGGCCTTGGTGCTGGATTATGACCTGTCTCATATGCATGCAGGCTGATAATGTTTGAAGTGGCTCTTTTCGTTGAAAACTCTCAAGTTCTTGAGCCAAGATTTTTTTATATATAATTTTCAAGCAAACTAACTAAATACTTTTGTGGAATATTAAAAATAAGCTATGTACTGAAATTAAAGATTAAAATACAGCCTTTCTTGCTTTCCATACATATTTTCCAGTAGAAATATATTTTATGATAACTACAAACAACATTTTATATTAAAGCTTTCAGTCTGCAAATCATTATGATTTAACATGGCAAAACAAGTGTTTTGGTTCTTGTCTTGAAATCTCCCTTTTTGGTGAAGGGGGGAAGGGTAGAACATGGGCTAATAATGAAAATCAGCAAAAGTAAGTGATTGCAAATAATACAAACACCACATTTATTTAGAAAAATAAACTGAAAATGCCTGTTTAGCTGGTACATTTTCCATGAAGGACAGATAACGGGCTATAAAAATGTTATGTGTCAAATATGTAGTATAAATGGGTTTTTTCCTTCTTCCTTGTATTGACTGGGAGGATATTGTCAATGTTCATTAGGAACATGTGAGTTTTAAAGTAATTTCTCTTCTGTTACAATGATATAAAAATGTATTAAAAATTAGATCCACTCTGAAATCCACATTGGCCTGTTGATGCTTTTTAAAAATTATCTCAGTCTTAAGGAGCAGGAAATTTGTTGTGTGAGAAAGGATTCCAACTCTGAAGGGACAGGAGGGTACTAAATTTTCTTCACTTTTGCCGGTGGATTTCATTTCTTCTAGAAGCCCATCAAGGTACATTTTCCCGTAGACTAAAATTTCACATGACCATCTGTGCAAATGATGGCCTACTTCATTCCCCTGAATGGAAGTGACAGTGCAAATATTAGAAGTGCATTGAGATGTGATCTGTAACAGCTGGATTATTTTGGCAGAGGACTGGAGAACACCTCCTTTCAAGCATTTTAGAATCATTGGCCCTCTCTTCTATGGCTTTGAATTTGCAAAAAGGGACAGCAGTGGCCTTATGTTTTCATCCAAAACAATACCTTTTTTCCCCCGAAGGGAGTAAATATATAGATTTCTCTGGATTCATTCAAGTGCTTCACATTTTTGTTCATCTATTTCCAAACACAATCTTGGGCATTAGCTAGACCACATCATTTTTGTTAGCTCTTCTTGATTCTTAGCATTGAACTCCTTTAACAGCAGTCCTTGGCAATGGCTCTTTCTGTACAGGGGCAAGAAAGCAACTCCTCTTTTTTCATCAGTCAGAGTGAATGGTACTTAAGGCTGTGGCTTTTGTCAGGGCTCTGCTCGCAGCTTTTAGAGATGAGGCCAGTGGTTTAATGTAGGTTGCACCAGTGATCAGTTGTGCTCAGGCTCAAGGGTTTCCATGCTCTGAGAAGGGTCCCTGTTGCTGTAATCAAATATGGCCTAAAAGAAGTTGCAGGGTCAAATCTGTCATGGGGAGAACTGGTTAACATGCCTCCAAATGCTGACATTCCTTCCAGCTTGAAGGAGCTGCAAGAGAAAGAAGGGGAAATTTAAAATACACACACACATATATGTACACACACACATGTACACCTTAAATATACCGTATTTTTCGCACCATAAAACGCACTTTCCCCCCACAAAACAGGGGGGTGGAAAGTCTGTGCGTCTTATGGAGCGAAGAAAACAGATTATATTTTCCTGTTTTCTTCTCCTAAAAAAATTGGTGCGTCTTATGGAAAGGTGCGTCTTATGGAGCGAAAAATACGGGTAGCTAATTCACAATTCCATCTCTTTTAGTAAAAAAAACCCCACATTCCTGTTAATAACCTAGACTGCTCAAAATTATGAACCTATTCTACTAAACATTTTTTTTCTAGCTCTTAATATTCTTAATGAGTCTCTACTGAGTTCTATATCCTCTACTGAGTTATATTGGCCAAAGTAAGCAAAAGGCATGCAGCAGCACCTACAGGACTGCAGCCTTTCTAGAATTCCATCTCAGTAACCCTCATCCAGCCCACCACTGAATCAAGCCATCAGTCCAGGTTCTGGATGGCCAACATTTCATTCACATGTAACAGATGAATAGAGCTGAGTGTCATCGGCATACTGGTGACAACTCCACCCAAATTCTCTAATTTCCCCCAAGAATTTCAAATAGATGTTTGGAAGTAGCAGTATTGTGACCAGTTGAGCCCCATAGCTCAATTGCTGATGGACAGTTCCCCAAAGCCACTGTCTGGAACCAACCCTATACCTGAACGAAGGCATATTTTAGATACTCATAATATCTTCAGAGATGGGGAACATTTGTTTTCTGGTCTACAGCTTCCAGAATCCTGGAATTCTGGGAGCAGTATGTTTTTTTTTTAAAAAAGTTTCTTATATGTTGCTACTCATAAGCATGCTCCACTGAACCTCAGGAGAGAGAGAGGTGCATGCCACTCCTTCTTTCAAGAGACTACTAAAAACGTGGTTGCTTAAACAGGCCTTCCCGGACTTTAGAACATCTTAATACAGCAGTGCTTTTTAACAATTACACCTTCATCCCCTCCATCAGGCCTTTTTATTACTTTAATTTATATTGCAAGTTGTTTGCTGTTGTATTTTGTTTTTAAGTTGACATTCAATTCATCTTTTGTACTGTTGTTTATATATTGTGGAATTTGTAAACCACCCAGAATGGACTTAGTAGCCAGATGGGCGGTATAAAAATCAAATCTAATAAAATCAATAAATAAATCTTACAAGCTAGCTTTAGCAGGATGTTCTTTATGACATTTTGGGTAGCATGAGATGCTATCTTTGGATGAGTTTCTCAGTGATACCTAATAATTTCTGATCACAGACTAATCAGATACTTATCATGGAGAAAGTAGCAACTGTTTAATTCAAACCAAATCTCATTTAGTGTAGCAGGGCTATTTTCAATAACACGGCCAGGCTCTGAAAGGATCTGTATGTTTAAATCAGCTCATAGCACTTTGATAGTAAAAACATTGACTTACTAGAGTGGAGAGCAACTGGAAAGTCAAACATCATTGGAAAAGGAGCCTAATTCCCATCTCAAACCAATAAGCCTTGGTACACTGCTGAATATAAATATTTCAAAAACACTTCCCATTAAATAATCCACTGTAGGAGTCCATTTATTCCCTCAGTCTTTTTCTATGCTAATGCTCTGCTGCACATGCCATGGGAAAAACTGTGATTTGTTGAGAGACTCCAGTATGCCTGAATCTTCACAAAGACGTATATACCAGTGCTACATGGAGGGTCATAATTTTACCATAATGACCTAGGGAAGCAATTTTGTTTTTTAAGATTTTCCAACCTCTGGGCAAAAATTTGCCAAATCTAACTCCAAACATATTTTTGCTGTGCCCAGGAAATATATCAGTGATTAGAGTGTGAAAGAACTATTACTTTCATTTCCCCTTAGTCCAAAGGCACTGGCCACTACGTGAACCCATTTTTAAAAGTTTAACATATAGTGTGGCATCCACGCATGTCATAAAGCCACACCTGTGATGAATACTAAAGGTCTAAATATTGATGGGAAATAGGGCTCACGTTTGTCTCTAGAAACCAAATTATTCCAATTGCTTGCCACAACCCTAGATCAGGTAGGCCAGCAAAATACAAAATTCACCCTATCAAACAAAGCTTATCAGATTTATGACAGTCCATGAAAACTCCCCAACACTCTTGATTTTGCTGCCTGTTTCAGACTTCAAAGACAGAGTGATCACCACATACACGGGCAACATAAAACATTGTGCTTATAGGCTGTATTGAACTTACTAAGTCACACATCGTGCAATCCTCTTCCAGAATAAAATAGATAGGTGATCTCAGTTCACTGGCACCCACTGCAAATTCATATATTCTAAGGTTGAAGCTTATCTTTGATAGAAGCAGCAATTAAGGTCAAGAGATGCAAACCACTCAGGAAAAGACAGGACATGGAACCACCCTTTCTTATAGGTCTTTATAGAAAACAATTCAGGGCAGAGAATTTTGAAAGAATATGACAGAAGGTTAACATTTTACAGCTGTATGATTCCTACTGACGCTGGGGTCAAAAGCTGAAACAATAAGCTGTAGCTTATCTTTAAAATTGTTCTGTTTATGCAAATGTCAGAGCACAATTCATTCTGATGTCTTTGCTCATTTTGTAGTCTAAGAGCCAGTGTGATACCCAGTTCAAATACATCCACACCTAAAAATCCTATTTAGTGTCCGGGACAGCCAGTTACCATATCTCAAGTTAAACTACTTCATAGAACATTAGCAATTGCCATGTGCCATTCAGTGCTCACTACTTAGAAGGAGCAGCAGCTTTCCTAGGAATTGGGCATGTGCTTGGGAGTTGAAGCCATAAAACATAGAAATTTTCAGTGCCAAGATTTAGCTCTGCTATGGTATATAACTATCCTGCTACTTATGATGATGATAACTGTATTTCTTTCTCTGTGTTACTGGTGCAGGAGGCAGATCCATGGGCCAAGACCAAAAATCAGAATTCCTCAAAATTCTACATTCTTTTTCTTTCTTGCCTTAATGTTTAGTAATTCTGCAATTTTTTTTAACTTTTTGTACTTGTGATATACTTCTTGATATATAAGCTGCTTCTATAAGCTATGCTCTTCTTTGTGGTTTACTTGGAAGTGTAATATCTAGGGTATTAGAATGAACTGGTTTATCTCTTATAACTTGCTTATCCCAGCATAGCATTGCAGTTTTATTTTCTAAGACTGGTAGAGACTGGAATTCATGGAGGAAAAATGTGAATAGTATAATTTGTATAATTCGAATACTCGAATAATATGAATTATGCAAATAACATTAATTCGTATTTACAAGGGTAACTCACGTGTCCGCTATTGTCGCTGGCTCCGCTCTCCCTTCCAATCGCTCTGGAAGGGAAAGCAGAGCTGCCGCCAGCTGCAACAGTGGATGAATGAGTGGACGGTCCGGCTCCAGGGGGCCAGACGCTCGTTACGTCCACCTATGAATAATCTATAAAATTTAGACAACTGCTGAAAAACAATCTTAGCAAATTGGTTATGCTTGCACATATAATCTGCTGATGCTAGTTTAGGGTATCCTGCTATATGATGAATAGTTCTTTACAGTCAATGACAAGCCCTAAATATATCACTTACACTTTGCTTTATAATTATTTTTCGATAGTACTGAATCCAAATAACTTGGTTTTGGATTGTACATAATGTGCTCTACATGGGGCTGCCTTTGAGACTGATGAGGAAACTTCAGATAATACACAGTGCCGCGGCCAGAATTCTAACTGGGGTGAATAGGCACCAACATATTTCCCCCACACTCGCCACCTTGCATTGGTTGCCCATTCGTTTCTGCGTTGATTTCAAAGTTCTTACGATTATTTATAAAGCCCTAAATGGTTTAGGACCGAAATATCTGGCAGAGCGCCTTCTCCCACCCATTCCTGTCAGAGACACTCGTTCTAGCCAGGCCAGGCAATTGAGGGGCCTAACGCCGAGGGAGGCCTGGAAGGAAAGAACGAGGAACTGGGCCTTCTCAGCAGTGGCCCCTCACTTCTGGAACAACTTGCCCGTAGAGATCCACCTGGCTCCCTCTCTGGGTATCTTTAGAAGTAAAATTAAGACATGGCTATTTAGGCAGGCTTTCCCTCCTGCTGTATTTTAATATTTACATTTTTACATCTTGGATTTTTGTATGTTCATTGCTTCTGTTGTTTTTAAACATTGTAATGCCACCCGGAGTAGACTATTTGTCTAGATGGGCGGGGTATAAAGCTAATAAAATAAATAAATAAATATGTTTAAACCTGTTTCTGCCTGATTTAATTTTTTTATATTTACCAACACACATCATAGGATCCTCCTGAGCATTTGTGAAATTAAATTCCATCACACAGTTCCATCTTTCCAGTCAGTGATAGTACTTCTGCTTTTTAAAATTAGATCTTTCTCTGAGTAAAGTGATCATGAACACGGGAAACAGAAAACCAAACTAGAACAAACTTATCCACACCAAAAAGAGCGAGTGAGCGAGCAAAGCCCTGACAGGGGCTCAAAATGTGTGGGTAGGGGCACTCTGAGGACGGATTGGCTCACCTGAGCAATTACATCATCTGATTGTTGCAAAAAAAGTGTGAGCCAACCGACACCCACAGCACACCAAACAGCGGAACAAAGGCCCATTTGACTGAGATCTAAATTTAAAAAGAGGATCAGATTATAAGAGAGGATGGAAAAGAAAACAAAAGGAGGGTTTTGATGGTGTGGGCCAAAAACTGGTTTTCCAAAATTTCAAGTACCAATTTCCTTCTTCCTAAGCCACTAACAAAAGAGTGGGAGGCGTAAAATAACATAGGTATTCTCGAAGACTTTGACAATTGCAAGGCTCAATTTCAGTCTGTCCCCAGCGACAGTGAGCAAAATGCATGTTTAGCTCCAAAAAGCAGCACCCACACCAGAACCAAAGAACACGAGAGACACTGCAGACTAAAACAACTG